CATTTAAGCTGCAAATGTTTTTCTCATGTTAGCTGTCAGTGTCGTTAGAGGCCGTACCGTAAAAAAACTGGTCGGGTGAACGTTTTCAGCCTATTAGCATTATTATTGCTCATCGTATAGCGACACAAGTTTAATAACTAAAATTAAAACTTACCAGTAAACAATTAATAATTTGAAACACGCCTAAAACATTCTTATTGCTTAATTGTGGCATAAAATCATGAAATTAAAAGCTTGAAACTCGTCTTGACAAAATTCTCTGTCTTCTTTTTCAGATCATAAGTAAAGAGAAAGTACAAATTCATTATGCATATATTTGTTTTTAATTCAATCAAATTGTGAGTGACGTAAAGAAAACAAGTTATTTAGGTAATTATTTTCACTGAATAATATGTCAGATTTATTAATATAATTGAAAAATAAAAGATTCCTTCATAGCCATCCATTCTGAATTCTATACAAGTCAGTGGCATGGAAAGCAGCGATTCAGCAGATCTTTTGACATGAATATAATTTTTTCTCTAAACAGAACATACCTATATGCACAAATCTTGGCTGTTTTACTTCAAGCCAGTCTAGTGGTCACACTAACAGCTTACATGACCCTGACATGAATCAAACATGTTTGAATTTACTTGCCGCCACTCCCTATATGTACCGGATACTGGCCCTATATAAAGGCCCGTTTACACTACGGGACTGATTCGGAAGGATCGAGACTGGACTAATTGCAGCGGCAACCCCTTAGCTACTTGTTTTCTTCTTGTCATATCAGTGATTTTTCTTTCAACGAGATACGCTTTATAGTTGATAGTCCTTTATCAATTGTCTGATGCATTGTGTAACTCCGTGCCACGAGTCGAATGGCTGATTCACTAAGCAACCCTTGAGTCATTACAGGACAAATATAACTAAATTTTCTCCGAGATTGCTCTCTTGTGACTTTCAGAATCTTTGCATTACGTCGACTGTCATTTTATAGTTCTTTTCATTTCAATTTTAAGGTCTTTAATTGCTTTAGATCACTCATATCGGGAATGATGACCTGTTATCGGCACTCGTAGGCCATTTGGATTCGAATGAAAATTGAATGGAATTCATTTTAGTTATCATTTGCCGTTAATGTAAATTTCTTACTGGAGCAGTAGCTTATTTTTACTGATCTCATTTGTTAGTAATAGTAATGTTACAGTAATATTCTACTTATCAATATATTCACGATAATCTAGCAGCTTGTTCAAATAAAATTGTTGATGAAACGATCTAATCATCACGATGGTAGCACTAACTTCTGCCATTTGATGAAATTAATACTTGCAATACTTCAGTCAAATATTTTAAAATTACTTTAGTGCCTCATCGGTAAAGGCTTTGCTTCGCGTGGGGGAGACCGGAGTTCGAATCCTGCAGGCAGGGAGTTTCTTCAACTCTATTTCTCACGAGGTATGTGTATGGTACTCTGAAAATTTGTTCCTGCTACATGTCTGACATTGTTACTTGTACTATAATGGTAGATTACATACGCAGCCCTTAGGATGGTGATTGTGTGGAACTATGTCAGTAAATACATACGCATCGGATCAGAAAATAAATTTAAAGTTTTTATCGACTTCGTTTTAAAAGTGGCCACGCCTGGCTCATCAATGTGCCACTGGTGCCAATGGGTAGTTATTGGCGGAAGGAGAGCTTTACGTTTAGGGGGGCCATAGGCAGGTTATAGGTATGGTAAAGGTGGTGCACGCCACCCTTAATTCACTGTATAATTCATAGCTGCTCCATCTTTGGCGTCCGCCTATAGCCATCTTAAAAACATAGGTGCTCCACTCTTAATTTTTATTTGGGATGGATCTATTAGCATTTTTAATTTGAGTTTTACAACATGCGCAATAGGAAACACCTTTTTCTTTCGAATCTTCTTGCAGCCACTCCTCAAAGTCTTTTTCATGTAACCACTCTTCTTTAAAAGACTGTTTGTACCACTTTTTAGCTACTTTTCTAGGTGGACTTGCCATTTTCGGGGCCTTCACTGTTCACTATATGTTTATTTAACAGCACCGATAGGTACATAAGCAACAGTAAAACTTAACGTACGACACAACTGTAACTTGTCAATAGCGAGCGCGGTAATGTGCAGTGTGCGACGAGAAGTTGGGACTTGACTCACTTGGGAACCTTTACTTTGACTGGTAATGAACGCGGACAATACCAGTACCGTCTGTCAGCTAGGGAAAAATATACAGTCTGGTTAGTCCGTTGCTCCATTCATTGTGTAATGACTGCATAATGAAATTTAAGGCATTGAGAATATTTCAATTATATAATTAACTAAAATTAACTTACATAACGAAAAAACCCAGATTTTGCAATTTAAAAGAAAAATACACCCAGACACCCAGGTGACGGCCAAAAAAAACAGATCTGGGTGGAAAAACCCAGCGCTGGGAGCCCTGGTACACACTATTGTTGGTACGTTGGCCATTCCTACATGCAGATATCCTCTAGAGCAGTGATGTTTTGGGGTTGTCAGCGGGCAATACGGACTTTCAACTCCCTCCAAAAGTTTTCGATGGGGTTGAGATCGGGTGACTAGATAGGTCACTCCAGGACTTAAAATGTTTCTTACGAAGCCACTCCTTTGTTGTCCTGGCAGTGTGCTTGGGATCATTGTCATGCTGAAAGACCCAGCCACGTTTCATCTCCATTGCCCTTGCCGATGGAAGGAGGTTTGCACCCAAAATTTCACGAGACATGACCCCATTCATTCTTTCATCTACACGGACCAGCAGTCCTGGTCACTTTGCAGAAAAACAGCCCCAAAGCATGATGTTGCCAGCCCCATGCTTGACAGTTGGGATGATTTTCTTTGAATGCAACTCCGCACTCACTTCTCACAATCACGACGAGTTGTGTTTTTAGCAAATAGTCCTACTTTGGTTTCATCTGACCATATGACATTCTCCCAGTACTCTTCTGGAACATCCAAATGCTTTCTAGCAAACTTGAGACGTGCCTGGATATGGGCTGGCTTAAACTTGGGGACACGTCTGGCACTGCAAGATCTTAGTCCCTGGCGTCGTAGCGTGTTGCTGATGGTAGCCTTTGTAACGTTGGTCGCAGCTTTCTGCAGGTCATTCACTAGATCCCCGTTTGTGGTTCTGGGATTTTTCCTCACCGGTATTGTGATCGTTATGACCCCATGGGCTGAGATCTTGCGTGGAGCCCCAGATCGAGGGAGATTAGTAGTGGTCTTGTAGGTTTTTCATTTTCTGATTATTGCTACCACAGTAGATTCCTTCCCACAAAGCTGCTTGCCTCTTGCAGATTCAGTCTTCCCTGCCTTGTGCAGGTCTACAATTCGGTTTCTGATGTCCTCCGACAGCTCTTTCGTCTTCACCATAGTGGAATTTCGAGGGTGACTGTATGAGGTTGTGGGCAGGTGTCTTCTAAACTATTAACGAATTCAAACAGTTTAAATTAATGCAGGTAATGAATGGGGGATAGTGAAGTATCTTGATAGTCACAGGTCTGTTATTAGAGAACATAATGTTCTCTAATAACATTTAGAATTAGAGAACATAATGTTCTCTAATTCTGGCCTCTATTAGAGGCCAGAAACATAATGTTCAGTGAACTTAAGTCTACTTTCTTTCTTCTTTTCTTAGTGGGGCTATAGTCCGAAAATATCGCTCAGTTGTTTAAATCTAATATTTGTGTGCAAGGATCTACAAAGATTGGACGACCTTGTCTCATGTGTATATCCTGCACCAGTATGCGCCCACATATCAGGCGGACCAATAACTATAATAACAATTGGAAAGGTAATAAAATGACATGCGCACCAATATCTTTTCTATATGATACAACGGTATCACTTGTTTTTGTTCTTGAAGACGTTTACATACGATTACCTTAGTAAGTGAGATTACATTAGTGATGCATCATCTCAATTGATCGAGAAAATTATTCAAATAGATCATGCTGCAAATTTCTTCAATATTAATTTTGAGAATTTGAAGCATTTAAAGCGAAAATTTGAGAATGAATTCTTCTTGATAGTTGACAAACTTATTTCGTCTAAGATGCACTCGAACAAATCGAATGATATTGATAAGTTCTGGTGTTCTAATTTAAGTGCATTTATTGCGTGGAGCAAAACTTCATATTAAATAAAATCATTTACTAGGTCACAAAACAATTATCCGATAAAATTATTCCCGATAAATAATTTTAACATATACAATCACACCGAAGGAGTAGGGATATTAGCTGAATATTCAGGTGTAGTGTGGGAAACAGCGGGAGAATAAGAACAATGGTAACTAATGTGCAGGACGTAGAATAAGTTAAGGTGTTGACGATCCCGTAGCAGTGTAAGAATTCAGAGCTGACTTGTTGTGGGACCAAAGCAAGGACTAGTTTGTGAATTCAGACAACTGCAGAGGGAGAAGTCAACCCGGATAGAAGATCACAAGAAGCTATCAAGAAGATTCAGTGTTGTGCTTATATAGTCTGTTACTGTGTTGTGAGGAACATCTACAGTGCTACTGCTGTGCCCTGGCTTATGAAAGAAGATAGTTCTGTACCCTATAACGATGCCCATATGTTCAAGTTAACTTTGTTCAATGTTCTTAATTTAAGACTTTAAGTGTTCACTTTTCATTAAAATTAAAATAATTGTGTTAACTCGAGATCATTATTTAACCACGGCACAAAAGATCATTACAGAAGGATATTGCTTTTCCGAAACACCCATAAGATTTAACATTTGTGTAATCGTCGTTTCACCGCACCCTTGTCATTGAAATGAATAATTAAGAACTCCACACACGGGCATCAACGTGGAAGGTAGTAAACATGACGAAGAATTTCTTCCATATATCCGCACAGGATTGAGGGTAGAACTTGGTCTTTAGGTATATTAAAAGATGAAAAACAAAGATCAGAGGATCAATACACTCATGATGCCGTAGTCGAGCGTGAAAGCCAAATGCTCATGTTATTCAAGCTTGAACGTTGACGAAGACACCCTGGCACGTGCATGTTGCAGTGTGGTAAACAGATGGGGCGTCGTTGAATACTCCATACCAAATCACGAAGATTTTTTGGTTTTGGTCTTGCACAGGCGGGCTCGACATCGTCAGGTCGAGCTCGCTGCCGTCAGACCAACGGAAGACACCATTGGCTTCTTTCTTTAGGCCAACCCATATGTTTCGATCTGTTATAAAACTAGGAATAAATATACAAGGGTTGGACAAAATAAGAGAAACGCTTGAAATTTTGATATAGTAATTTTTGAACTTGTGTACCGTCTTAATTAAAAGTAGTGACTGCTTTTGAAAGAGAATGAAAAGCTTCCTCAGCGAGTCAAAGGGTCTGGCCAAAAATCTGAGAGAGACCGTCGTTACCTATGTAAATCGAATTGTGAGGGACAATTGAAAGACCACGGCTATTAAAATTACTACAGACCTCAATGGACACCTGTGAACCCAGTTTTCATAAAGACTGTCCTCCGACAACTGCGCAGATCTGGATTCTACGGAAGAGCTGCAATTAGAAAGCCTCTGGTTTCAAATGCAAATGATCCACAGCGTTTAGAGTGATGTAAAAACCTCCATAATTGGTCCCTCGATCAGTGTAAAAATGTGAATTTCTCTTACGAATCATCGTTTGCCTTATTTCCAACTACTGGTCGAGTCATTTTGGAGACAGCTAAAAGAGTCATTTAATCCCGACTGCTTCCTCCCAACCGTAAAACATGGCGGGGGAAATGTAATGATCTGGGGTGCTATTCTTTGGAAATCCGGGGGACCAATGATTTCTCTTCATGGACAAATCAACAGCCGTGACTATTTAGGATTTTGGAAGACCAAGTTCATCCAATTGTTTAAAATCTGTTTCCGGAAGGAAACAATATGTTTCGTGTTGATAATACACCAATTCCTGAAGCTGGAATTGTTAAAAAATGCTACGAGGAATATTCTAATGAAGTTGAGCATCTCATTTAGCCACCACAATCAAAAGACCTGAATGAAATCGAGCATTTATATATATAAATATATGTTAGATTTTAGAGATGTAAGTCAGAAGTCGATTCCCGCCGCCATCGTCTTCGAAAGAGTTGGAGGAAGTTTTAACTGAAGAATGGATTAAAATTATATTTGAAATTTGGAAACAATTCACCACTTGTAAGAATCAATTCATCGGAGAATTGTGAGTGTAATTGCCGCAAAAGGTTGACCTACACCATACTAAAATATATTTTGCGGATTTCTCAGGTGTTTCCTTTATTTTGACCAACCCCTGTAGCTTATGAATTGAAAAAAGTCTGGGGAAAGTTATATCATCGGCAAGAAAATGATTGAGTAGAAAATGATTGGAACACGAGCTTTATTCTGTAACATGATTAAAATGGTTTTTCCCACTAATTTACATCTTCCGATCTAAAAGAACAATTTAAATAAAAGTATGGCTTTAGTTTATTAAAATAGCAAATTTTATACCGCCATTGGTGTTGGTAACATAGAGAAATATCAGTTGCAATCAGTAATTAAAAGAAAATTCTCACCGCTCTTCAGATAATTGAAAGTTGCTCGAGTTTTGACGACGGGGATCCGCATGCCAGGATGAGAGCACCGAGCCACGCAAGCGGTGTACGTCAGGAAAAGTTTCTTGTTGTAGAACGCGCCGTCAGGTTTCTGCTCAAACTGTTCTGTGACCGAGATAAAATTTTTGATGAAGTAAGGAATAAATTGCTTGAGATGATTTTTTTTCACTGAGAATGATTTAAATTCTGTAACTGAAATTATGAAGGCTGTAAGCATTTGCAAAGCGAAAGCTCCAGAATTTACTTATCTTTGGTCTTAATTTGGATCAGGAAGCTCATCCTCAGTTTTTTTAACAACGTATGTTTTTAGCTTCTGAGCTTCACAGAGTGAATATTAAATAATAAAATAATTTTAGTTATAAAGAAGTTATAGAGTATCGAACATGCAGGAAAAAGAAGTAAATAACTGACATGGGTTCAAGACCTACCTCTAGACACCCCTTCACCTGAGTACTGGTAAGTAGCGCCGCTGGACTCCGAAGTCTGCCCGAGCTTGTCGCTGAGAGCGCACGCGCCGCTGGCGTTGTAGGAGTGCGCGATGCAGCGGCTGTCGACGAAGCACCTCCCGCGACACGCACCTGAGGGACGAGATTTTGAAAATGTTAATGGATTTGGGGTAAGGCCTAATTGCTGTGGCATTTTTGCACTGGAATGAATTGGTGCTAATACTGTGTCGGATGAATTTTTTGATAAATAGGTGATTTGGACTCAAGGTGTCATTCTCAGGACTCAGCCGGTGATTTATGCTACATAGGCCGGTCACTTATGCACTCAGGCCGGAGATTTATGCTACATACATTACCAATTTTTATCGTTATTAACATACTCCAACTTTATAAAATATTACTCATGAATGAAACAGGTGTGAAAAGATAATTGTATTATGGTGTTTGATTTGAAGGAGCTTATGATTTGAAGGAGTGTCTGATTTGAAGGAGTGTTTGATTTGAAGGAGCTTTTGATTTGAAGGAGTGTCTGATTTGAAGGAGTGTTTGATTTGAAGGAGTGTTTGATTTGAAGGAGTGTTTGATGTGATGGAGTGTTTATTTGAAGGGGTGTTTGATTTGGAAGAGTGTTTGATTAGTATGAATGTTTGATTTGACCTATTTATTTGAATGAAATAATATTAAAAATCTTGAACTATATCTGATTTTAATTTTGCCTCCATGTGTTTGCGAGTAAAATTTGTTTTATGATATATCATATAGGCCGATTGTTAATTGAAATTCGTTATATATCAATCCCCAGTGTCTTTTAAAGCAGTTATTTAAGGAACCTCGAGCTATTTTATTACTTATCATTTCTTGTACCCAAGTAGCAAGTGATTAAAATGTTAATGCACAGTAATGTTAGACGTCACGCGAGTTTCATTGACCTTCATGGCCGTGAACTTTTATTATTATAGAGGGAAGAAAATCTCTCAGATATTTGGAAGCCAGGCTTTTGATGACGCAGTGATTCTTAAAAGTACGGAATTGATAATTTTAGAGTGGTTACAAAAATTATGTTAATTATAGTATTATATAATTCTCGAATCCAGCTGTATGAATATTTGGGATACTCAATTCTTAGTTTTAATTTCAAATAATTCTATTCCATATCCAGGCTTGTTTCAATCTATTCTAGCAGGCATTGCCCTATACTGAAATGACAAATAGCGGATTTATCCACATTTTAAAAAGATGTCGCAAAACTTGCACTGGAGCTCACCATTGGGTTTGCTATCTATCGTGCTTGACGCTTAGCATCCGTTCCCGGGAATTCTGCTCTCCTCAGTAAACCATGTGACCTATTCATTATTATGTGTCCTATATTAATATGGTCTCCCACAGCAAAATTTGTTAAAAAGCACGTGATCAGTAATTCTGCGAGTATCAGTGAAAGCAGACATAGAGAAGCACCTGCACCCTGCACTGTCAATTTAATGTCAATCATGCCAATGTAATGATGCAGTGTTCAGTCCTGAAAAAGATAATCTTTTTGGGAAAGTTCGATCTCACCTGATGCCAATAACGCAATGCTGATTTAATTCTTGTTCTATATGAATGAAGAAAAAATGAAATAGCGAATTGTTATACAATTTGTCTAGTTATATAAAAATTAAGGCAAATGGCAACTTCAGATGGGTCTGATCAAAGGCTTACCCAGATATGGGTGTAAAAGTTTAGCAGTCACTCCTGCATAAATGAACGGCATTGGCTTGGAAGCAGCCTTACCTCTCACTAAGCAATACAGTACAGTCTACGTATAGCACATAATATAGTTTCTCAAAAGGCAGGATAAAAGTCACTATAGGTCAGAGTCTGAAGTTGCGAGCATGACACTGTATATGCAATAACAGGAATTGTCGACTAATTACCATGTCTCTAGTCTTATGAACACACCTTTTTAACTTTGTTTAGTTCAGTAATGAAATATTCGGCGATGATGACGTTACTAACCTTCAATTCTGCGTCCTGTTCTGTACTGTTTGTGTTGGATGTGCTACCGTCGAATTCAATCGAATTTTCATACGGCTAAAATCGGTACAGCAATCATCAGCAAAATTTTATTAGATTTTAGTCTGGAACTTGAATGCAATCTGTATAATTAGGTTGGTATAATAATAATAACAATAATCATTACGATAAGAATAATAATTATTAATAATAATTATAATATTAACAATAATAATATTAATATTAATAGTATTATTATTAATGATTAATAATAATATTATTTATATATAATAATTATTTGCTTCACGGTAAAATACCGATTTCCGTATCCAGTTGACCAATTGAGCACTATATAATGAAAGCTGTCTCGAATACTTGGTCAATTTGCAGCAAAATATTAGCGTTTCTTACATTACTTTATGATGATTTTGCCTCCTTACATTTGGAAGCTGCCGGAGAGAGGTCGTAAGAAGCATTCTCGTCGATCTGCACATCTCTGACAACCACTGACGTTTTCGCCATGCTTTTTATCAGATAGGCAGCTGGCAGCTCGGAGTTCGCAGTTGTTAAAGTCAGCATCGCTGAACTTGAGAGGAAAATTGCTGCCCAGGACATTCTTCCCACTGCTTGCTCTGGAGTCTGTTTGAGAAAATAACATCTTACTTACTTGGAGAGTTGGAAATTTGAACACTCCTTCCAAATTTGTTATAAACTATCAGCACGAATTGACGTAGCGATTATTTGTTAGCAAAAAATCTATAAATAACCTAAAAATTAAAAACCAATAAACTAATGCAATTGCTTCCTAACCAGGCAGACTCCTCAACAAATTTAATTAATCTGAGGGTAGTCATTAGTCTCGAACTTATAATTTTCAAGCCAGTGACGTTGAAAACATATATGCTTCTCAAAACATGGCCACAATAAATGTGAGGTGAACAGAAAATAATTGTGGACATTGGTTCCATATTAGTTTGATTTATTATTTAAATTATCGCGTGCAGCCCGGCCATCTATACATTTACTGCTGAACATAAGTCGTGGTGGTGGCACTACACAGCGCCACCACCGCGATTTATTTATGATGGCAACGAAGCGATAGAGCGAAAGCGTTTTACCGTTTTAGCGAAACCGCCTATATAATAACTAAGAAATTTGTTCCTCTAAAATTTGGCTGAAGCAAAAATCTCAAATTATTCTATATGAATAGCATATCAATGACTTTAACTCATATTATCTAATGTAAGTCATAATACATTCATCTTGTAAAGAAATTCTCCTTTTAAGGGCAGAAAAAACCCTCGAAAAAATGGAGTCTCTTTATAAATCATAATACAGAAATCTCTTCCTTCATGTGCGACCTACATTATCATGCTCAGTATGTTACGACGAAAAATAATAAAATATCAAAGAGCGGACGTTGCTTGATTTGTAAGAAAACTAAAACTTATTTAGTATCAGCAAAAGAAGCAAAGAGGTTTCTTCTTTTCAATTCCTGCTATCCTAGGAGCTCTAGGCGCTGCTGGGTCTCCGGCAGGAGGGGCTTCTGCCAAAGCTAGTGTGGTCAATAAGAAGAAAGCTGATGATAAACTTATAGCAGAAACGAAACGACATAATGAAGCAATGGAAGCTAAAAAGGGATCCGGTTCAAGATTGATCCCAGCGAAAAAAAATCTTCACCGAAAAAAATTGTGCGGGAGGTCTCTACTTGAATCCACCAAAAAAATAATACCCATTAAACCATTAACACAACATGATTTGAAACATAATTTGGGAGTATTGAAAATTCCTGCAGTAAGAGATATTTTCTCAGAGGGATACACTGCCTAGGTCACCTTTTAAAACGGAGCGAGGAATTTTGAATATTGATGTGAAAGAGGGAACTGGAACGTATTGGACTTAACATAACATATAACATAGTGATCTCGGCGCTGCAGTGTAGGCCTGATGTGGCCTGTCGCCGATTCTTTTCCTTTTCGTGCCTCGTACACAGAGGATCTAAAATCGTGTCATTTGACCGGATCTTTTCACGACTGACGAAAGTTTGAAATTGCTACTCGACTTCCACTGGGTTCGATATGGTGCTAGGCATTTCAAATCTGAACATATATTTTTCCATAGCTTTATCTAATCTGTTCTTGAACGCGTTCATACTTGGAGCGCCAACGATGTCATCGGGGAGGCTGTTCCACATGTCGGTGATTCGAAGCGAGAAGAAATTTTGTCGCGTGGAGAAATTGCAGCGTAGTTTTTCAGTTTATAGCTGTGGCCCCTGGTGTTGCTTCTTGTTTCAAATTCTAGTAATCCTTTGGGGACCTTGTATAAACCATGAGTATACTTGTATACTTCAATGAAGTCCCCACGCAGACGTCGATAACTGAGGCTTGGAAGCTTCATAATCTTTAATCTTTCTTCATAGGACATGCCCATCAAGCCTGGAATTATCCTTGTTGCGCGTTTTTGAACATTCTCTATTAAATTTTTGTCCTTTTAAAATCTCGGTGACCACACAACGTTTCTAAACTCTAGATTCGGGCGCACGACAGCAACAAACAACTGCTTCATCGCTTCTGTATCTAGGAACTCGTATGAGCGTCTGATTAATCCAAGAAGTTTGTTGGATGTGTTAGCTTGCGTTTCAGCATGCTTAGAAAATTTTAGCTCCTTGTAGACATAAACTCCGAGATCTTTTTCCACAATAGACTTTTCAATCAATACTCTCTCGTTGCAACCATGTCTTCTCATACTGTAATCTTGCTGTTCATTGTTCTTCCCGAGGTGAAGTACTTTACACTTGTCAGCATTAAACCGCAGCTNATGAAATTAACAGCTTAACTTGATGCTACAAAATGTAACTGATAAAGACATTGAAATGAACAAAATATTAACTGATCGTATAAATAATCTTGTAGCCTCACGAGTTCAGGAAAGTCTGTAAGCTTTAGAAGTGTTACTTTATTAAAATGACCGTCGTTAATATATTTGGAACAGGAATTAATAGTACACCCATATCACATCTAAGAGATCCTCCAGGTATTGGCTTTCAATATCTTGACGCTGATAAAAATTTGTATCTGAATAATCGGAAACTTGCAAATATCTCTTATCCTATTGAGGATAAGGATGCCGCATGCAAGAGTTATATTGACGAGGAGGTCGTAAAAATCATAGATGTTCATGTAAAGGATTCAGAAATGACCTATAAAAAATAGATTTAGTGAGAGAGGGTGTCTTGGTGCATATCAACTTTCTCGAGAAAGAATTGCCTGCAGTAAAATCAATAGTAGAAGCTCTTGATGGAAAAGTAACTCGGACAATGACAGATCTTGACAAAAAAGTAACTAAAGAAATGATTGAGGTAAAAACAGAATTGGAGAAATTAGCTGAGGAAATGACTGAAGTAAGATCAAAATTGCCAAAACAAATGAATAATTTGAAATCCCTCAATGAAAAAATATCCTCATTGGCAGGAATTCAAGTTGAATTAAAGGCATGCATATATTGATGATCTTGAAACACGGACAGAATGAAAAGTTGAGAATATTAGAACCAGCGTTCGCAAGAGAACACAACTGTGATTTTGGGAAAAGATAAATATTAAACTAAGTTTATAAATTCACCAAATGCATTTATAATCTTGGGTAATATAAATGAGAGCTAATGTACAATATGAAATAACTGATATACAACAGATTGACAATTCATTCTACTTAATGTATTTACGGTTTAGCTTAGGAAAGTCAGTTAATCTAATCAAGTGCGATGAACCATTAAAATTTTTAGAAAATATAGAGTGATTTATGATTTAACTAAATTAAACTTAATAAAGGGTAGTTCATTTACACGCTATAGTCATTCGAGGTAGCCTGTGGGAAAAAGAAAGCTTGATGAAATTTCGTAAATAAATGGAAGACGCAATAACAGATGTTCAAAGAGAGGTGATGTCCAATTCTGTAGATACTGATCAGCTGCAGATTGATGTTGTTAATATTCGCTATGATATTCACCATCTCTCCACAGAAATAAATCAGATTATAATTTAAATGAACATATTAGAACAAACATTGAAAAGTATTTTAGAAATAAAACTTTAAAAAATGCTCTATAAGTGAAAAGACGATAATAAAAATAAACAGAAGAACCATTTTGTATTTCCTTCTCCAAGTTTGAGGTGTCTTATAATTGGAAGTTCGAACTGCGTAAAAACGTCATTGCTACTGAAGTTGCTATTGGTGAACTTTATTGATTTCAGCAATCTTTTTCCTGTATAGCAAGTCAACTCATCAGCCGTAAGTTGTTGAAGAACGCTTTCGATAAGGGAAATAATAAAATAAAGTACCTTATAGTTTTGTGTTGATCAATAAAGATGAGCATCCTAGTTCAGGAAAGTATTTCAAAAATTTAAATCAGTTATATATTCCACAGAAGTATTTTTCAGGTAACCGCTCTAGGTTATTCTCGGTTAAAGAGTGTAGTAAAATCGGGGTAAATGGTCGATAACTCATGATTCCGGAGTAATTGGTTCATTTTGTTGGATAAGATTCATGATCGGTACCCTGTTAAGCTGTTTATACAGATTCAGGGGTAATTGTTCGTAATAATATTGAAGAAGGTTTTATTCGGAAGTAATTGGTTAATTTTGTTGGGTAATATTCGGGGTAAATGATTGGTAAACTATAATTTAAGCTGTTTATGTAAAGTGTTATGGTAGGCTCGGTCTCTATACTACTCCCGGACATCTCATGTAAAGACTGGACTTCTCATGTAAAGCCCGGAAATCTCATGTAAAGCCCGAACATCTCATGTAAAGCCCGGCTATCTCATGTAAAGCTCGGATATCTCATGTAAAGCCCGGTTCGGTTTTGGCGCCGATTTACTACCGATAAGGCGCGGCTTTTATAACGAAGCCAAAATGGTCCTTCCGGTAATAACGCGACGCTGCAGCGGCCCTAAGTACAGCACGGCACCAAATTAATTTTGTTGCATTGCACGACGTGTCATGCACGACGTGTCATGCACGACGTGTCATGCACGACGTGTCATGCACGACGTGTCATGCACGACGTGTCATGCACGACGTGTCATGCACGTCGCATTTGGGGGCGTACCGGGAGTATAGGGGGAGTATATCTAGAGTATATCGGGAGTATAGGAGGAGCATATCTAGAGTATAGGAGCATATCTAGAGTATAGGAGCATATCTAGAGTATAGGAGGAGTATATCGTTAGTAAAGGAGGAGTATATCTAGAGTATATCGTTAGTAAAGGAGGAGTATATCTAGAGTATAGGGTGAGCATATCTAGAGTATATCGGGAGTGTAGGGGGAGTATATCTAGAGTATATCTGGAGTATAGGGGGAGAATATCTAGAGTATATTTGGAGTATAGGGGGAGAATATCTAGAGTATGTCGGGAGAATAGGAGGAGTATATCTAGAGTATATCGGGAGAATATAGTAGGAGTATATCTAGAGTATATAGGAGGAGTATATCTAGGGTACATCGGCAGTATAGGAGGAGTAT